CTTTATCATGATGCATAATTTGTGATTACTTTAATTTTGTATGGTCTCCTTTTGACGTTATTTACTACTCCTTTGTTCCAATTTATAGGTCGGTTTGGCTTTTCTAGATACATAACTTTTATTATGTACCCAGACATACCGTATAAGTTATGCACCTAAAAACGAAAACGGCCTATAATTTAGGACAGAGGTGGTAGTAATACTCTCTTCATCTATTATGATTAGAAATACAACTTAGATGAACACTAGCGTCATGTATACTAGAAATATTTAACTTTTTGAATCTAGTATGGTCATATTTTCCTTTAGATTTGGTCTACTAAAGTAGCGCGAAGTGTGGTCCAGCACTCCAGCTAGAACACACATGATGAGTTATAAAAACTAAGAGCCTGTTCGCTGGTTGATTTTTGGGCTGATAAGCCCGGCTAGTGTTGGTTCGTTGTAAGAGAAAAACACTGTTGGCTAGCTGATAAGTCCTGGCTGAAATCTAACGAGCGAACAGGCTGTAAATTTGATGCTTTGGGCTGAGAAACTGATCCCATGCCTGCCTACAACTAGCGGGCCTTCATGGACAAGCTCGTGTCTAGGTTTAGTTTGGGCCTTTCCGGACTGGGCTTTATTTACTCCGGTCAAAAGCTCAGAATCATAACTGCACACTCACACGATCTTTGCCGAGAGATAGGAGCATTCGGGGGAACCGGTGAACTACACTTGCTTCTTGATAGATGTGTGGGACAGAGGGCTCGTGGTACCTGCTGCCCACCCTTCCTCCGCTTTGATAACCGTGTGAACGGAGAGTGGGCAGAGCAAAGGCCCCTTTGGAACATAGGATAGGAAAATTATAGGAATATAGGAAAATTGTAGGAATTGAGGTTACTTGTTTCTCTAATCCCATAGGAACTGTAACCATAGGAAAATACATTAGGAGGCCTTTGGATGGGCAAATAAAAAACACAGGAATGTTAAAAGAATCTTATGAGTAGAAATAATATTTCTTTATTTAGTCAACCTAATATTCCATTCTACTCCCTTGATTAGGCACCACCAGCAACCATTGGTCCATTATATGCTTCGTTTCTTGAGCACATGATTTTTCCCATGAGCTCCAAGCGGATTCTTTTTTCCTCTAGTTTTCCTATGGAATTGAAGGGAAGAAAAGTTTCCTTTAGATTTCCTACATCCAAAGGCCGCTAAAGGAATCATTTCTATGGAATCTCAATCCTATGTATTTTCTTTCACCTCCATTCCAAAGAGGTCCTTAATATTGAGTTCATAGGAACGCTCGAAAGTGAGCAAGAAGCTGCTAATACTAGTTGAAAAAAGAATAACTTATCCCTCCGGTCAAGAGAAGGAATCTAAAATTGCAAAAGTACAAAAAAATTAATATTTTGCCTTAGCAGAGTCATAATCTTACGTGTTTCCCCTTTATAGGCGAGCGTCGAGCGCAGGCTCACGGAGCAGCCGATATTAAAGCATCTTCAAAAATCTTTCTTAGACCCACTTTATAAACTTTCATTTAAAGAATCATTTGAATAAAAAATATTTTCTATATATTTTCATCTTTCAACAACTTCTCTATATCTAGAGAGCTAGTCTAGCTCTCCGTCTTTAGTTAATGAGAAATCGCGAATAAAGAATGATAATATTTAGAGATCTAATTAAAAAGATTTGTTGAAGATTTTTTTTACTAAAATCTCTATTTCTATTAATATGAAAGGATATAGAAAGTCTCTTGAAGTTATCTCTTCGAGATGGTTGCTTTAGATAAAATGCTTCCAACCTAAGGAAGTGTTCTGTCGGTTATAAAAAATATTACAACTTTGATCCAATTTGTAGATTTTTTTTATAGAAATGCATCAACATATATGCAACAAGCAGCATCAAATAGTTTCATTAATTGCACATGCAATATGCATCGATTGTGTATCTATTGGATATTATAGATACTGTATCCAAAACACATGAGAATTGAGTCGATGGTCACGGGCGACTCTAGGTCATCAATCTTATCATAGGTGGTCGTGGAGAGGAAATTAAGGTACCGAGGTGATGATTCTCCATCATATGTCGTACCCGATGATGTAACTGTCGATATTCTTTCAGCGATTTAGATGCGTTTTGGACTAGTTCGAAAACGTTACATCTTGCGGTATGTCCAATGTTTTGCGGTTGGTCGTTGGATCCAGTATAAGGCTGGCTCCGGCGTTCGAGGGAAGCCGTTGAGAAAAAAGACGATAGAAGAATCTGGATAGAATATTTTTATTTTTTTATTTCACATTTTTTCATGTATAATTTGGGATGTATTGTGACAAGATTTAATATAAGTCACCTTTCCTTTCACAAAAAAAGAATTGAGTTTGCTGTTAGCACCTGTTAGCAACTCTAAACCAGCTAATAGAACTATAGTCAGGTCTGTTTGGATACAGTAGTATTAATTTTAGCTACTAATGGATTCAAACGTACCTTTAAATTTGAACTAAAATAACAAACATTTTCTAAATGGACAAACCTAATCTACTCGCCTTCCTCCAAAATCTCAAAAAGCAATCTAGCGGTCTGTCCCCATGATCTTGTCTGTCATCTTCTTCTTCGGTTCTCCTCTCCATCTATCCGTGTCTGAAGAATAAAGACCTACTCTACAATCGAATTGGTCAAGGGCAGAGCGAAGAGTTCGCAGGTTGCGAATGGGCCAGTGGTCCAGTGGAAAGCTCACCTGGCCTCCAGGAAGGCCGCCCCGCCTAAGGTGGCGCTTTAAAAAAAAAGTTCGCAGGTCGAGCAGATAGCGCTCTACGAGTGTCAATAGTCGACACTTTTTTTTTTTATCTGTGCAGCACTTCTCCGGTTCTCCCCCGTCTCTCTCTTCCGGGAGCTGGTGCATGCACTCGATTATTCTATTCTAGATCATTTCTTCTTTCTTCTCCGTAGAACAAAAAAAAAATCCTGGATGAAATATCTAAACGAAAATGTTCAAACATGTGCGATCAAATGATTTGTAGTCGCATAACGCGTAGCCATTCATCTGGGGACATAGTACAACGGGCCGGGCTCACAAACCAGGAACCAAGGGAAAAGGAGGAAGAAGGTTATCAAATTGTTTCGATATTATGGAAAAGACGGTGTCACATTGTCAAACGAGGCCTTTTAGATTAGAATAATGGGACCTCGGTCTTACTCCTATGTAATTTCTTTCCAAAGGTTGGGAGATATAGTCGTGCATCTTTACAAAAAAAAAAAGATTTTGCATCTTTTTGTTCTTATCAATAAAAAAAAACACCTACTTTTTTGCCTTTCGGGTCTCGTTTTCCTTTACACATCCTTTAGCTAGACATTCTGTTTCTCTTCAAGAGACTCATCACAAACTTTTAGCCACGTCGTTTAACTCGGCCTTAGCTACGCACAAGTGTTCGCGTGCGAACGGACGATTTCGATTGCACCAATTGAAATATTTGCCAATCTCACGTTGTTTCAAAAGAAAAATGATACTCTACACACTTTCCAGATCGACGGGTTCTTGTGTCACACACGCCTGATCATCGACAAATGGAAGCCTAGCTTAGGGTGTTTGGATCGAGGAACTAAAGTTTAGCAGGTGTCATATGAGGATGTCGTATGGGATGTTCGAATACTAATAAAAAAATAAATTATAAAATCCATCAGTAATCAACGAGACGAATTTATTAATCCTAATTAATCCGTTATTATTATATATTTACTGTAGCACCACATTGTCAAATCATAAATTAATTAGGCTTAAAAAATTCATCTCTCAGAACGGTCTGAACCTATGCATTTAATTTCGTAAACCGTTTATTTAATACTTCAATGCAAAACACCCCCTTAGCCGGCACTCTTCACGGACGACCTGACACGCCACACGGCACGGCGCCAATTCCTTCGTCCGGGAAGCCATCTCGTGAAGCGGGCAGGTAGACTGACTGACAGGTACTGTACCTCAGTGTAGAAAACTCCCAAGTCACTGCACTTCCAAATCAATCACTGAGAAACGCATAGAAAGCCGCCGTTGCTGGCAGTGACGAGCGCTCGCAAACAAAGGTAGCGGGGTTTTCTACCGAGGGTACGATAAAATTTTGCGCGGCCGCGATCAGCACCGAGAAATGTCGTGCAAGGGCGGAGAAAAAGCCCCTACGGGTCGAAAAGACGGGAGCCAGCAGCTAGTTTGTTTGGCTATGACTTGACGTAAACGATCGTAAATTTTTAATTGAAATAATATTTTTCTCTCATATAAATCAACCAGCAGTATTTTTTCACGTACCAACAACAATATGAACCAGCCAACACAGCACGCTGCAGGTTACCGCGTGCTGCTCCCAACCTCTGCAAGCAAAGAAACCTCGCTTCTTTCGTGGATTTCAGCGTCAGATGGACCATGTCACCGTCTCAGACTGTGCAGCTTCGAGAACTATGCGTGGAGATCGATGCACATGCACATAGGAGTGCACGGAGGAGTGCAAACCTGCGTTGAGACTGACTTTACGCAATCGCTTTAACGCATAAGAGAGGTCATCTGCTTTTCATTCAGATGAAACTCTCTCGATCTCTTTTTTTCATGAAGTCATTAAATTTGTTAATATGTCATAATATTAAATACAAATAAAACTCCCACTAAGACTACTCTAAAATCAAAATCAAACCCAGAGTTCCCATGTAGCATTCCGTGTTTAAGCTGAAGTTATACTACCATTTAGTGGAAATTTTCTGGCAATCACGTACGTCACGCATGCATAGTTTATACTTAATTTCTTAAGGATACACTGCTCTCGTAGTTATCGTAGAGTAATTTACACGTCAAGCTAGAGACGAGAACGAGGAGAAAGTGGTGCCATGACACATGAGATGACTAACCGCGCGTTCGGCTGGGGTGGCTACTGCTCTCAGAAAACACTGTTCATATGAACAGTGTTTTCAGCTATTTTTCATTCGCATCCCGGTCGGAACAATATTTTAACTTATTTTTTAAATCCTGGCAGGGCACGATCTTCCTAGCTGAGTACCCCCATGCATGGGTCAGCGTGCAAAGACGTCGTCGCTCCCAGCTTGACGGCGCCGAACCCCCCGCGGCGCGGCGGCTTCATCGAGGAGACAGCGCAGGCGCCGTCTGGGCCGAACTCGCACGGCGCGTCCTCGGCGATGGTGCCCATGGTGGCCACAACGGCCCTCTTCCGCGAAGGGGGCGCCGCCGGGCCGACCAGACCTCCGGCGCTGCCCAGCATCTTACCGGCCCCGTAGCCGACGACCTCCGCCGTCGCCGGCTCCGGCTCCGCCGGCTCGGCCGCGACGCGGCACTGGCGCCTGCTGGACGCGGCCGCGGCGCGGAGAAGGTCGTCGGCCTTGTCGGAGCTGACTCGGAGGCGCTGGGACGCGGCGCCGGAGCCGCGCCCCACGATGCCCGCGGACGACCCGGACGGCAGACCGCGCGCGCACCCGGACATGCCGCGCACGTAGAGGTCGCACGCCGAGTCGCACGCCCGCGACAGCGAGCGCATCGGCGCGCCAAGGCACCCGCAGCCGACGCTCTTCTTCTTCATCCGCCCGCGCGCTGCGTGGACTTGGCTTCGGATCCCGAGAGAGACAAGGACGGACACTACAAGCTACTGCGAAGCTAGGCTCGCGGCACTTTATAGAGCAGTAGTAAGGCCTCGTTTACATTGTCCGTCGAAACTTTACACCATGTCCCATCGAATGTTCGACATATATATATAGTATTAAATATAGATTAAAAAATAAATAGTTGTATAGATTATAACTATTTTGCGAGACGAATATTTTAAGTTTAATTAGTTCATGATTTGATAATAAATTACTACGGTACACACATATGTGTTAATAATGAATTAATTAGGTTTAATAAATTTGTCTAACGGTTTACCGATAGATTATATAATTTATTTTTTATTAGTATCCAAACATTCATACAATATTTTCATATAACATAAGATGTGACACCCAAAATTTTAAACACTGAATAACTAACAGAGACAAGGAGGTCCACGCGCGCCATGCCTCGGCATGTTTGGGGCAGTGATGAGCACAATGATGGCAACCCTGGGTGTTTCCTCCGGGCTGCCTGTAACTTTGTACGTACTCGTCTAGTCGTCTGAACGCGGCAAAATCCCTCCATTTCTTTTTTTCGTCTTTGTTTAGTTCTCTAAAAGTGCACTAAGTAAAAAAAAATTTTTTATCACATCAAATTTGTAGTATATATGGAGTACTAAATATAGATAAAATTAAAAACTAATTGCATAATTTATTTTAACTTTGCGAGACGAATCTTTTGAGCCTAATTAATCAATGTTTGGACAATAATTTATAAATACAAACAAAATGCTACAGTGGAGAATCGTAGACTATGCAAAGGTTGCAGCCGAACTAAACGCGCCCTTCATCTGAATGCGGCGAAGTCCAGGGGCTGCTCTTGGAGTTGGGAAAGTAACAGTGATTTGCTTCGTTTGATGGGTCCGTGTACACTTTGGTTAACGCTGGTTCGCTTCGGCGAATGGCGTGGCCGCGTGGGGCCGGCGGTTTTCGGTACGGGCCGTGAAGGGAAATGGTCAGAATTCGCGCATATTGCGCTGGAAATCGAGAGGGATTTGTCCACGGTTTTGGGACAGGGTCTATATCAATTGTAAGCTGTTTGGGTTGAGCCGGCCGAAGAGAACGGGGCTGCGGGCGGCGGCTGATGGGCCATCGCCCATTGGTGGCCGGATACGCTCGTGTGTCAGTCGAAGTTGATGGTTTAGCGGTGCGTCACGACCGTAGACCTTTTTTTTATCCGTATCCAATACGCATCCGTGCCGATAATCACTGACTGAAATCTTTTTACGTAGTGTTAAAGTTGGGAGTTGGTGTTAAACTAAACATAGCCTTAGCGGTGCGTCACGACCGTAGACCTTTTTTTTATCCGTATCCAATATGCATCCGTGCCGAACACGCACTGATCCTCGCCTCCCCTCACCTCCGCCGGCCGCCACACTTTCCGTTCTCCGCTACTCCACTCTACCTACCCCCCACGCTTCAGTGCCGCCCTCCAGTCCGCACGCACGCACGGCACGAGCTCGCCGCGATGTCATGGCTCGCTCGCTCCATCGCCGCCACACTCTCCTCCGCCCACTCTGACGACGATGAATCCGAGCCCCCCTCCGGCGACAAGAGCCCGCCGCGCGCCGCCGACCCCACCAGCGCTGACACCGGGGAGTCCGACAAGCAGCCGGACACCCCGAGCCGCGGCGTTAAGGGCGATATCTCGGAGCTGACCGAGTCCCTCACCCGCCGGTTCTGGGGCGTTGCCTCCTTCCTCGCGCCACCGCCAGTTGAGCGAGAGACCGAGGGAGGAGGAGGAGGAGGAGGAGGAGGAGGAGGAGGAGGCCACAGCCGCGGAGGTGCCTCAGTCCCCACAGATCGACGGGATCCGGAGTGACCTGGCGGAGATCGGGGGCAGGGTGAAGACCGGTATCTCCAGGATCGCGTCGTCGTTCCTGCCATTCGGGCCCGGGGATCAGGGGGATGAGGAAGAGGGCGAGGCGGTCGGTGTGACCGAGGAGGTAGTGGTGTTCGTCAGTAACATCTCAAAGCATCCAAAGACATGGCTCGATTTCCCCTTGTTTGTTGATGACCGACACACGGATGGTAAGAGCCAGTGGCATCAGATCGAAATGCTTGAACTGTTTATTTTGTTGCTTTGATTCATAGATGGTGGAACCGATTGTTTTGGCGCAATTGTGTGCTCATTTTGTTGCAGTAGTAGTGGATAAGGGAAGAATCTGAGGGTTGACTTTAGTTGTTTAAGCTTGTTTGTCTACAATACAGTGTTCTCTTGCTACTGAAATTACGGTTTCTAGAGTGTAACTAAATCTATTCATCTTAATTTAGCATCTGGACTCGAATCATCATTAGTCATCATTGTTTATGTTGGAATTGAGTATATTTTGCTTATATTTACAAAGGTTTTGCTGGGGAAGTGTTGTTTGCAACTGGTTGTGATACTGTCAATGTTTACTGTACTTTTGCTCAAACTTGCAACTGGGTCGGAGTTGTTTTTGGAGTTGACAATTATAGGTTCAACATCTGTAAGTTGAATGAGTTGACACAATTTTACATGTCATTCCTTCATGTATGATGTATGTCCAATGTTCCTTAGCATACCAGATTGATTTCCTCAGTTTCTTACCTACATTTGATATGCTTCCATGTTTTTAGATTTTGAACTGTCAGATGCGCAGTATGGACATGCAGTTGCTATAGAGCGCCTTGTGCCAAGCCTGTCATACCTCAGGACTGAGCTTTGCTCTACCAATATGAGTGAAGCGTGCTTCTGGAAGATATATTTTGTGCTTCTCCATTCGAAACTCAGCAAGCAAGATGCTGAAATTCTTTCAACACCACAAGTATACTCCCTCTCCTTTGTTCTATTTTTCTTTCTAATTGTATATTTTTATCATGTCTGTTTCTTGCTGTTCATGCAGACTACAATTATCCAAACAGAAGCATCTGCTTATAGGCTTGATTTGGTAGACAGCTTACATAGATATTGTCAGAAATAAAATTACTTGTTTATGTGTTATGAATTGTGGTCTTTTGAATGTGAGATATGCTATCTGGAAACCATTTTCTTACCCCCTATAAGCTGTCATTTTGTTTAATTGGCTTATTGTCTATCCTTTCTCTGAAGTATGAACCAGTCCATTTCCCATTGTGACTTTGTGAGTAGCGCGAGCTCAAGTTGACTAATACAAACCTGATATGGAATGGCTACGGATAGATGGATTAGCAGAGAAACCCAGGATAGCCGCCGTTTCTCGGGGACTACCTTAGGATTTCTTCTTGCTTGATTACAATCAATACCGGATTCTCTCTTTTATAGAGACAACTTACTTGACCCCTAAGTAATATCCTAACCGAATCAATCTATCTTATTCCTTTCCTAACAAACCAAACCAATATAATCTAATCTAATCCGGTACTGTCCTCGCGCTACAGTACCGCGTGGGCCCCTGGTCCGGCTCCACTTGCCATAACAAAACCTGAGGCTGGGGTCAACCTTAGCTAAAATATTAATGGACCTCAAACTATATGGGAAAAATTGGCTAGCCTGCCTTTTATATATTGTATTGTATCCTAAGATGAGGTTAACACTATCTGTAGATTGTGGATCCATGTTATTGTACATTTGTGCTAATTGTTAACAATCATACATCCAGCGTGTATCATGACAGTTACAAATTATCTTGTTTGAAGCTTAAGTGACTTTATCACTGAGCTGATGGGAATATGGCAACAACAAAAGTTATAAGCAAAACTGCCCAAATTGATATCGTTGTATGATAATTGATGTAAGCACCATAGCACATAAAGCTTGATGAGTACTAGACGATGTAGGAACGCAAAGCTTGATGATTACGCTCGATGCAAATGTCATCTTCATATGTAAAGTCCATTGATCAAGAACTATTTGTATATCCATTTCCAAGTGTCAGCTCTTATCAGACTGAGTGAGATTCAGGACATGCATGTCCAACGTAGAACTATTTGTATGTCCATTTCCAGATTGTAGCTCTTATCAGATAGAGTGAGATTGAGGAGATGTATCTCCAACGTTGACGTTTTTTTCCTTTTGATATTTATGTTGTGGGGTGATTTTGATTTCTGAAAACTGAAGCCTTCCAAAGGTAGATGCCAGTTTTTCAAATGAAGTACTGCCTAACTAGTATTCTGGATATCCTTCATTAATTACTTGTCTTTTCAACTAAACTAAACTTTCTAATTCATATAGTTAAATTTGCATATCATATATGAGAACACGAAGCATTCCATAACTACTACACATGCTAAGTCTAATCATATTTTCACATCATACTGCCGTTAGCACCATTATAATAAATATGGAAGTCGTGAATCATACCTTTCCTTTTGTTATTAGTAATTTTGGTAGGGAAGTTTCTTGTTGCACTTTTATTTCATTAGGAGCTTGAAGCGTGCATCTATACTTGCTGCATTTCCCCTCATAAAATTCTCCTGTTTCACGCAGATCCTGGAAGCAAGAGAAGGACTATTGCAAAGTTCACCGACAAAGAACAAGCTGTTATCAGAAAACAGGAATGCTACAGAACCAGAAGATAGTCAGTTGTCACCCTCAAGCATCCAAGACAAGCGTGGAGTATCTGAAGCGCCATCATCCCAAGAACTAACTTCTGACCCTGTGCCTAATGTTGAGTCTGACAAGCATCCTATCTCAAGTACTGAGGCAGAAATAGTTGACAAGTCTGTAATTCAAGAAGAGTTGGTGATGAAAACTGAGGCAAAGGGTTTACCCACTGAGAAATCTAACCCTCACCCTGCAGAGGATGATGATGAAAAAGAAGTAGATGATTGGCTACAGGATGTGGATCATGTGCCTAGCAAAACTGGCAACACCACTGCAGTTGGGGAGGAGGAAGATGTATCCTTCAGCGATCTAGAGGATGACTAGGGGGCTGCTATCATGCGAACCAGCTATCAGCACATTGCTTGATGGTGGCTTCATGAAGAAGTGAAGAACACTCAATTGCTTTGTGCCTCTGGTTTTACCACTTCACTGTCTGGTTCTTTGATTGCCGTAGCAGAATCACGCAACAATGTTTCTCGGCGCGTCCCAATTCCAAGTTGTATCCAAGCAGTCTATCTTTTTTCTCTGTACATAAAGTTCCAGACGCGGTTCTGCATTCCTGCTATATCGCTGTCCTTATGAGCTGCTTCTGATACGAGATTCTGAATGTAATATATTAGAATCATCTATAAGCTGTCAAATATCTTGTATCACTTACATGTTGATATCTTCAGAGTTCCTTTTCAAGGAACATGATACATCATACATGTAATCTCAAGGATGAACTCTGCATGCTAAGCTTATGAGCGTTGAGCAGGATACACGTTCCATTTTCTATTCGTCGCTGAGAGGTGAGAGCGGTCACGCTCAACAGTAATTACAGTATCACACATCCCATTAACGGTGGATAAATTGTGTCCTGCGGTACTGCGCTGTTCTTGGTAGTGCTATATGCACTTTTGTGTGTGTGTGTTTTTAAAAAGATCGGAGTGCTATTTGTATCATCTCTCATTTCAAATACAGGCTGTTGTATAATTCTATTGATCTCGATCAAAAAGCAATAATAACTTGACAACTAGTTAGTAGTTACTATAGTTTTTTTTCGAGTTCTAGTTACTATATTCAAAGGTACGGATACAAACGCTCACAAGACGATAGCGTAGCATGTCCGCCGAGTCTATTTCTGATTACGTATCGAGGATATATCATGGTCTGAAAATACTAGATGTAGTAAAAAAATGCTCGTACGCGTTATGAAACGGATGAAGCATTAGAAGTGTTCGTACGATTTTTCACAACGGATTACGGCCTGTTCTTATCTGTACATTTTGCATTAACGTTACAGGAAAATCCATTTCACAACAGTATGACAAAAAGAATTCACTGTTCCGAATAGGATTGGACTAATCAAGGGCAAATACAGCGATACATTAGCTTCACACAAATCAAGAGCAGTTCCATTGGTACAGACTGTCCAAAGTGCTCACAGGCGGACTAACTCCGCATGATGCAGTGTATGAGATTGTTCATCAAGATTCAAGAATGCCCTTCCGTGGCCACACCATATTCCTCGACAAGGTTCGTCGCGAGTCCCATAAGATCCACAAATGCGCTAAACGATGCTCGTAGAAACCGGGCCTCCACAGCTGCAAAGTGCCTGAATTCCCAAAATAAGAGGACTTTTCAGTCTTATGGCTTGATACAGCAATGCATAGGCGACAGTTAGGATGACAGAGCGGATATACTAACACGGCCAGCTTGCTGCCTGATAGAATCATCTCTCTCTTCACCTTGTCAGGCTGCAACTGCAATACAAAGTTGAAAAGTCGTCGGCAACAAGAAAACTGGATGAGTTCATGAAGTACTAGTACGTAGAGTACAGCTACTTTACCTCCTTGTCAACCACTAACGTTTTGTAGACTATGGATGCATTTTCCTCAGACTCATAATCAACTTCAAGGTTACTGCCAAACTAATATGTCAGTGTTGCACTGCGCCTTCTACTCAGAAATCATTTACAGCAGAAATAAAATGTGTGGGCACGGTACGGCAGTAGGGGTAACATGTTCATTGCATTTTTTTGACACATCAGTAAAATATCATCTCAAATTATCATCAGAGCAAGGTGTCGAGGTCAATCGGGAAACCAAGCAAGCTATGAATACTGATATCAAGTTACCCCTAGTCCATCGATGTCATAATAAGGATGGACTTGCCAAACTACATCTAGAGGCTACCAATTGGCACAAGCTCAGTCAGTTCTCCACAACAATCATTCATGAAAAATACACACGGTAATACATGGAGAAAATACATAGTATTTACTTCGATTTTGCATCAAAGAGGATCTGAACAAAGAGGATGGTCTAGGCATTCATTCACACATACTTCAATTTTCTGCCTAATAATAACGGTTAGTTTCTTTTGAGGAAATCCGTCGAACAAGAAACAAGCATAACGTTGCAGAGTCAACAGCAGTCGCACTGCAAAGGAATCGTAATGGCAAATTGGCTGAGGAAGGAAGCTATGCACCTAAACGGTATGCAAATCTGACTGCATCGGCACACGGCCGACCAAGGATAAAAGGGAGGGAGACTGGTAGACGGGCAGGGAGGGAGGACTCACCAGGTGAAGTCCCAGCCGCCGGAGGAAGATGCTGGTGGAACGGAAGCGGTAGCCATCGCGGCAACGGGCAGGCGGGTGAGAGGTCCACAAGCCGGTCGGCCGCCTGGCTGCAGCGCGCGAGGAAGAGAGTTTTCGAGGCGGAGGCGGAGGCGGAGACGGCGCTTGGAGTTGGAGGCGCTGTGACCGTGATGGAAGGGGAGGGGGCTAGGCAGGGCCTGGGGCCTAGGGGTCCGCCGAACTTCGGGACAAGTGGGCTGGAAGGTGGCGTTCGCTGACCGGTACGTGATCTGGGCCTATGTAGTCCGCTTAGTCGACAGGGATGTGCACGGGCTCTAGAACTTAGAAAAAGCCCATGTTACCTCTTTCAACTTTCGCGAAAGTCCGTTTTTTCTTCCTAAATTTTAAAACCATGTAAAACACCTCTCTCAATTTTTAAAACCATTCATCTTACCTCTCTGGCACTGTTATAAGCAGTTTTGAAGGCGGTTTTATCTTTTTCTTTTTTATTTATTTTGGTTGAATCTTTGAAAAATCATAGTAAATCACAGAAAATTTATAAAATAGAAAATCTAATTTTGTTGGACTCTACATGAGTAGATCTACATAATGAACATATAATATAGTATGCTTTAGTACAAAGTTTTTGTTGTGGTTTTAGATCTATGTTTTTCTGTAATTAATTGGAATAATTCATAGCTGTAGTTTTTATGGTCCAATTGTGATGAAATTTTTATGGTGGGCTAATTATTGTATGATTGAACTATAGTAAAAATTTCATACTCATTGGATCATGTATAGCTTAGTTATAGATTTATTTATATTTAACAAGCATAAACCTAAATAAAATCTATAACTAAGTTTTACATGATCCAATGAGTATGATTTTTTTACTACAGTTTAAGCATACAATAATTAGCCCACCATAAAAATTTCACCACAATTGGACCATAGAACTGCAGCTATGAATTATTCCATTTAATTACAAAAAACATAGATCTAAACCTACATCAAAAACTTTGTACTAAAACATACCATATTATATGTTCACAGTGTAGATCTACTCATTTGGAGTCCAACAAAATTGGATTTTCCATTTTATGATTTTTCTGTGATTTACTATGATTTTTAAAAAATTCAACCGAAATAAATAAAAAATAAAAAAATAAAACCGCCTTCAAAACCGCTTATAATCGGGCCAGGGAGGTAAGATGAAAGATTTTAAAAGTTGAGGGAGGTGTTTTGCTTGGTTTTGGAGTTCAGGGAGGAAAAGCGGACTTTCGCGAAAATTAAAGGAGGTAATGCGGACTTTTTTCTCATGGACGGGCCCGTCATGTCGCAGCATGGCAGAGTTTCACTGGAGCGGATTTTGTCTTTGAATGACGGAAGTCAAATGTAGACGCCCATATATTAGGTAGAAGCTCTGTAAATTTATCAAAAGGTAGAAATGTTTGATTTTTGGAACCTCCGGACAGAGTTTGTATTTCTTATGATCTTATCCTACCGAATAAATAAAGTCAATGCTACCCTTTAAAAAAAAGTAGGTAGCATACACGAGGTGAGGAGTGAGGTGTCACTACTCACTAGTCGAAGTTTCTTCCACTCAAAAAAACAGTCGAAGTTTCCTAAAAAATAAACTCACTAGTCGAAGTGTGACGTTTTTTTATAAAAAAAAACTACTCGAAGTGTGACGCATTGACTCCCACGCCGCGCCCGCATGTACCACTGCAGCACTGCCACAGAGAACGAGTAAGGACAGAGCTTCAGCCTTCCATCGCCCAGGAAAACACATCAGCAAATCAGTATCGCCATCGCACAGGAAAATCATGCTGCTTAACTAGTCCCACTCCCACATGGACTGTTGCGACACAAGAGACGAATTTTTCCTGAAGCTCTGCATTTTTCCCATGACATTACAAGACAACAGCCTGTGTTCGCTTGGTCGTATTTGGCTTATAAGCTATGGCTGAAAATACTGTTGACTGATTTGATATGAGAGAAAAATATTGTTCGTTGACGGAAAACAAGCCAAAACAAGCCCAAACGAACATGGCGCAAATCAAACGCTTAACTCTGAATACTAAATACTAATACAGATGGGAAGGATAAAAACAGTAATCGTTCATACTTCAAAGAGATATTCCTCCCATAAACCGCACTTGCCCTCTAGGCTCTAGCATTCACAAACCGTAGGCGTTCTAAGTTTACTACTGAAGCACTCATGCTGTCATGCAGAACATCTTCCCTTTTCTGGGTTGCAATCCTCTATCCACAAGTGACAGTTCAAGAAACGAACAAGTATCACAGTCTCAGTAATTCAGTATGCATTCGTAGCAATTGGCCAAATTACATGGACCCCAACAGTATCCCCCTTTGAAGGTAAACCGTCAAGTAAGCAAAATAACCCATCTAACCACTCAAGATTTTCTTACAAAAGAATTAGACCCCCAAGCCTTTCAGTCCACAGTCCCAAGCCATATATCTACAATCCACATTTCACCGTTTCAAGTATCCCTGACCAACTATAACCCCTCTTAATCCGGAATCAAAATCTTCTCGTGTAGTCATGTATGCATTGAATCATGTAACGTGCTTTGCCTTAACCTGAAGTGCTCTTTGGTCGCATTGCCCTCACTCGCAGCAAAATAAATACCCATTGCTCTCCCTTGTATTCCATCACTCGACTTGCTCACCGATTAGATCGAGCCCAACAACCAAGAATGATACCCCTTGGAACAGAAGGAAGTAGAAATGTATTCCTT